ACCACATGTAGCTACTGGTCCTGTGGAGCATAGGAAATTAAACATTCTTTTTGTGGGCTGAAGCTTTCCCTTTTTTGACATAGTTCAAATTATTATACAGTATGTCTGTAAACTTTACAGCAGGACATTATGACAACTTTGTTTTGTTTTAGCTCAGGCCAGACATTATATTTTTAATTGTTCCCTTTCTTTGTTTTATTAGCTATAATAATAATCTAAATCATATAAAAATTGAATGAGGAAGTATTGTGTGTAAATTAAGGAATAATGTATAGGAAGATAAGTGTTTCAAGTTATACTTTATAAGATTATAGGGTCTGTGCTTGTAAAAAATGCTAGATTTCATAGGGAATACCATTGGAAATTTGAAAAATTATAGTTTTATCTTCAAGCAAAACAATCATGTATTTACAACCACATAATATAGCTATGTGAAGTCCTGCATCTTGTTTATGAAGAAGAATGTGCCAGAGCTGGAAAGTATCCAGAAACTACAACTAAAATCATCAAGAAGCTAGAGTGGCTTAAAATACCCTTCTGTGTGGAATGATGTTTGGGGATATAATTAGAAAAATCTTAGAGTTGGAAGGGAAATTAGGCTCAATGTAGTTCAGCCTGTTAGTTAATGCATTAATTTATCTTATCGTAATCCTGACAAATGGCTGAGTTTCTGCTCTTTGAATATTGAACAATGCACACTGCTGGATTTTTAAATCTTCACTCTGACACTTCATAACTCAGTGACTGTGGGCGAATTCTTAAAAGTATGTTACATTTATCTGTAAATGGTAGAAATCTTCAAAATAAGAGTGGCCTAAATAAGGTAGTATTTTGCTTAAGACTGTTGTCAGTCCTGTTGGTGTCAGAAGCATGGGCTTCTCTCTCCTGTTGTTCTCACCTGCCTAACCTTGTCCTCAAGGTACAGGATGATGGCTTTGGGATTCCAGGCTTAAGGGGAAAGGTACATCCCAAGTGCCTAGTATAGTGCTTACCATAGTAGGCATTCATTAAGTAGTTGTTCCATGGATGAATGTCCCTTATTGCTCCTGTCAGAATAGGTATTGATCTGGATACATATATATGTGATAAATTGTGGCAAATTTGTCCATCCTTGGTGTTTTTTAATGTTCTCATCATTGTTCTCCCTTTACAGATAAGGTGTCCTTAACAGTTTTCAGATAGATTTAATACCATACAGAACTTATTTTAGTAGCTTTATTGCTGGTGCCTCCCCCCTGCCCCCCACCCCCTGACAACACACTAAATGAGAGGCCTGTTAAACCTCTCTTTTCATGTGTCTTTGATCAATACAGTCCAGGCATGTTGAAGGTACTCAGTAAATGTTTTTAGATTACATAAATAAATAGGAATAAAAGTTTGATGAATGCAAGCCTTTTCTTTCAGTTACTTCCCTAAAAAAGTTTATGGCTGTAATACACATAGAAATTCTTGATCTTAAATCTGTTTATATTACAAGAGTTTTAGGAATATTCATTCAGCATTCAGCTGGCATGTGATTATGAGACAACTATTTGGTATTATTATAACTAAGTACTAATTCACTTAACAGGTTATTAGAGAATAGAGGTTAATATAGTTCAGTGAAATGAGGGAGCATTTTTAGCCCGTTTGATTCCTGACTTTATGTATCCATTTAGCTTATCAGGTGCTTAACTTTCAAAGGATAATGCCATTTCTTTTCCATTGTTTCATGGGGAAAATTTTCTTTCAGGTATAAAGATAAATGAGTCACTATTTCCTCAGATATAGATAAAGTAATACCATTTAAAAATTTAAATAAATTTTTTAGCTCGATGATGTATTATTTACAAAATTCTAAGATATTTAAAGTATATATCATGATGATTTGATATACTTATACATTGTGAAAGAATTCCTCCCATCTAAGTAATTAACACTTCCATCGTAACACACACACACACACACACACACACACACACACACACTTTCTTTTTTTTGGTGAGAATATTTTAGTTCTAATCTCTTAGCAAATTTCAGTTATATAATACAGTGTTATCAACTATAGTCACCATGGTATACATTAGATCCTTAGATCTTATTTATCTTATAGCTGAAAGTTTATGCCCTTTTACAAACCTCTCTTTATTTTCCCCACCCCATAGCCCCTAGTAACCACTTTTCTACTCTCTGTTTCTATGAGTTTGACTTTTCTTTTTCCTTAAGATTCCACATGTAAGTGATAACATGTATACTTGTCTTTCTCTGGCTTATTTTACTTAGTAGAATGCCCTCAAGGTTCATCCATATTGTCGCAAATAGGGTTTGCTTTCTCAAGACTGAATAATAGTCCATTGTATATGTATATACCACATCTTTATTTATTCATTGATGGACCTTTAGGTAGTTTTCATATCTTGGCTGTTGTGAATAATGCTGCAATAAATATGGGAGTACAGATATTTCTTTGATATCTTATTTTTATTTTCTTTCAATAGATTCCAGAGTGGAATTGCCGGATCATATGTTAGATCTATTTTTAATTTTTTGAGGAACCGCCATACTGTTTTCCATAGTGGCTGTACCAATTTACTTTCTCACAGTGTATGAGGGTTCCCTTTTCTCTACATCCTCTGCTTCTGAACTGGAGTCCGACAGTTTGAGATCACATGTTATGCTACTTACTTACTGACTGTGGCACCTTGGATGGGTAGTTTAACTTCTCTGTGCCTCAAGTTTCTCATCTGTAGAGTGGAGGATAATAATACTTTATAAGAGTTGTGGGGTTGAGTGAGCAGGACATTTAACACTTAGAATAATGCTTAGTACATAATAAACAATAAAGGTCATTGTCACCACTCATTGTTATTAACATATTTGTCAAAATAATTTGACTCCAAGAAATACTTAGGAGAAAATGTCATTTGACTCCTTGGTTTCTAGCATATAGGGAGTGTGCCACCAAGTGAAATAAAGGACACAGGTTTGGCGGGGGAAGAGGAGGAGAATGCTGAGTTTAGTTTTGAACATACTGAATTTGAAGTGGTTGTGGGATGCTCATCTTGAAATATATGAATTTGAAGAAGTAGGCAGAATCATTGGCATATAGGTGGTAATTAAGACTATGAAAGATAATGAGATAACTTCGGGCCTAGGTAAGAAACCTTGGGACACTAACCTTTACAGACAGGTGGAGGCCATAGAGGAGACCATCTGAGTGTTAGTAGGAGAACTAGGAGTGAGCAGTGCCACCAAAATGTGAGAGTGGTCAGTGTGTCCAGTGCAACAGAGGTTATAGTTGGCCCTTGGATAACATGGGGGTTAGGGGTACTGATCTCCTGCAAAGTTGAAAATCCACATATAACTTTTGACTCCCCCAAAACTTAACTACCAATAGCCTACTGATGAAGCCTTACCAATAACATAGTCATTTAACATATTCTGTATGTTATATGTATTATATACTGTATTCTTACAATAAAGTAGCCAGAGAAAAGAAAATGTCCTTAAAATCATAAGGAAGTATTTATTGAAAAAAAAACCCACATATAAGTGGACTTACGCAGTTCAAACCCATGTTGTTCAAGGGTCAGGTGTACAGTAATCTGAGAACAGAAAAGTATACATGGCTTGATAATGAGTCTTTTGTGATCCTTTGGTTTTAGTGGAGGAGTGGAGGCAGAAGCCAGATGGCAGTGAATTTAGGGATAGTGATAAAGGAGAAAGAGAAGACTAATATAGACTACTGTTTTGAGAAATTTTGATGAGCTAGATGTTGGAAACTAGAGGAAAATATAGGGTAAATTGGGGGAAGGATGGAGTGTTGATAGGCTGAGCAGAAGCAACTGTTAGAAAATAAAAAGGTCAACTATAAGAGTGTAGAAAAGGTGGGTTCCAGGGCACAAGTTGATAAGACTGGCTTTGAATGGGAGGAGGGCCAAAACATCTCTAAGACTGGAGAAAAAGCAGGGTGTGGATATACCTAAGCCTTGAAGACATAGGAAATCATTCCTAATGACTGCATTTTTTACCAAAGAAATGGAAGGGGAATTTGTCTGCCAAAAGGGTTAAGGGTTGAATAGGTGTTGTGAGGAGATTGGCGAAAGCTTAGAATAGCAATCGAGGGAAATAGGAGATGGGGGCTAAAACTTTTGTTTCGCAATTGAGGGTTTTTTATCTGAACAGTACTTAAGTATATCACTAGTAGTGTGGGTACTATTAATGTGTCATATGAAAGGGGAAAGACTATTGTTTCATTTAACACGTATATTTAGCGTCTAGTATATACAGATCACTGTGCTATGTACTTTTTGGGAGGTTCAGATGAATACTTACTGTTTCATTCAAGAACGGTATGGACTAATAACTTATGTTATATGACTTATTAAAACCACAAGTATTTATAATAGCTTAAAAATGATAAATGACACATGAGCTTTATAAACATACTGTGAGGGTTGAAAAGAGTAGAGAATCCATTAAATAGGGGAAGAAACAACATACATTGGATTTCTTCTGATGGGGGAGGCTTTATGGAAAAGGCCTAAAAAAGGGCTACATGTGAATTTTATATTGTAATAGTAATGAAACTAGTTATGAGTTTTTAATTTATTATAGCAATCATATATTCTTCTCTAATATAATGACTGGCATTAACCAGAAATAAAACAAAGCAAATTCTGTTCTGTCCAAAAGATGTTCCAAATTTGATTATATTTTTATGTAGGAATATGAATTCACTAATCCTTTCCACAGATATTTAATGAACATTTCTGTGCTAGGAGCTGAGGATACAGAGGAAACTAAGATACAGTTTCTGTCCTCAAGAAGTGCATACTCTAGTAAAAGAGACAGATGTGAAAAGAGATAACTTCAGTTATCAGAGATAAAACAAGTTATTATACAATAAATGATATAAAAGTGGTATATGTAAGTAAAAAAAAGTGGGAGTTACAGTGTAAAGAAGCATGAATACATGATTATGTTGCTATGACAGCAGTTTTTTTTCCTTTTTTCTTTAGTTGGAGAACATCAGTTGACAGGCCATAAAGTGGCAGTTAAAATCTTAAATAGACAGAAGATTCGCAGTTTAGATGTTGTTGGAAAAATAAAACGGGAAATTCAAAATCTAAAACTCTTTCGTCATCCTCATATTATCAAACTGTAAGTATTTTTGTACCTGATAATACAAAGGAGAACTGTCTTGAAATATTTATGAATTTATAAATAATTATATTTAGTTAACCTTGTATAAAAATATTCTTTTTCATATTTATATTCAACAAGTGTTAATTTGTTTAACCTCTGTCAGTCCTTCTTTGCATACTTTTGGTTTAGCATTAAAAGTTAATTGTTTTGAAATTGAGGAGTGCAGCCTTAAAAGGTGACTCTTATTTCTAGTATTCATTTTAAAGTTCATTTAGGACTTTGATATTCCTAGATTCATTTTGTAATTTTTTCTATTCAGTTTTCATTAACATACCAATATGGGTATTTTCTTTTTGGAAAAGGTAGAAAGTAACTGTTAAAGATTATCCACCATATGAAATTCCTTACAAAACTGCAACTGTTACTTTAATTACTGATAGTAAACTCCTAGGAAGGCAAATGGATTTTGGGAGGGATAAGACAAATTATAAACTTAAAAAAATAAGTAAATATTAGAGATTAATAAATAAGCTAATTAATAAAATTGGAAGTTAATTTAAAATCAGCTAGACCCATAGAAAATTGAGAGGTTAAGTATGCAGTAGTTTTCCTTTAAATCAATTGACATTGCAGTTTAATTTTTATTGAGAAAATGTAATACTCCAAACACTGAAAATCGTCTTTTTTTTTTATCTTAAAGCTTGGTTAGAGTTTTATTAAGTAAATATTAATCTTAATGAGTACCTGATAATGATTAGAAACTATATTGAACATTTTGCATATACAATTTCACTTCATCCTCATGATAAGCCTATAAGGTAGGTATTATTATCCTCATTTTATAGATAAGGAAATTGCATATCTAAAGAATATCAGCAGCTTGTCCAAGTTCAAATAGCCAGTAAGTTGCAGAGCTGGTAGTTGAGTTCATATCTCATTACAAACTATATGCTGTTAATATCTACTGTAGTCCTCTAGTCTTTTTCAAAACTGGGAGTTACATAAATTCATTTTAAAGGAAAAATTAATTTGTGGATACTTGGTTTGACTTAATGTATAGTTATGCACTGCATGACAACGTTTTGGTCAATGATGGATCGCATATACAACATAGGTTTCATGAGATTATAATGGAGCTGAATTTCTTATAAGAAATGGAAAGATATGTGGTTCGGGAGGAATATATATTTTTTCTGATAGGAGCAGTTTTGTGGGCTTGGCAATAAATTCCCTCTAAGTCACAGCACCTCAATTTTGAGTGTACCGATTATACCCAAATCAGTCAGCCACAGACCTGTCTCCCAGTGACACATATTCAGAGGGTGCTACATCCTTCCCAGATATAGCTTGATGGCCTTCAGAGTATTTTGCTGTAAATTATTTTGTCGAGGACCCAAGATCCCTAGCCTTTTTGGCACCAGGTGTTCCTATGAGAATTTAATGCCTGATAATCTGCGGTGGAGCTGAGGCAGTGATGCTGGTGCTGGGGAGCAGCTGCAAAAACAGATGAATCTTCACTTGCTTGCCCACCACTCATCTCCTGCTGTGCAGCCCAGTTTCTAACAGGCCAGGACTGGTACTGGTCCACTGCCTGGGACTGGGTACCCCTGCTGTGCAAGGACACATCCACCGGAGCTGCCTTAACAAGTATTAAGTGCCCCTGCCACTTCAGTAAAAGCTTTCAGTGGTAGTGTGGAACCAGCCTGTTCCTGTACTTTGGAAATACGTTCAGGTTGTAACGATGTAAAAGATAAGTTTTATTCCATCAATCCAGTGCCAAAGAGAGCCCTTTGTGCTAGATAGGGTCAGTGGAACCAAAAACAAATTTCCAAAGTCAAAATATTAAATTCTCAGTTCTATACCCTCTCCATGTTAAACTCTCTCTTTCTTTACTTTTTTAAAATTTTTATGAATACCATAAAGTTTCTTAATTTGACCATTGTTCCATCATGCAATAGCCAAAACCATATTGCCATGACAATCCCCTATGCTCTTTTCTCTCTTGATCTTGGTTTCTTATTCCTACTGATACCCAGGCCACCTTTTACTCCCTTTTAACAGTCGTTATTATGGTGACCTATGCTTTACCCCACCAAGTTTTTCCCTCGATATTTCCGGTCAGTGTGTCCCACATTTCTGTTCATTGGATCAGCATTGACAGCTTCGATGTTCTATTTCTGACCCTGTTGGAAGGGAGCAAGGGCAGAGCCTGCTGGACAGTGTTTATAAAGTCTTTAGTAGTAACTGTAATGTACAAGGCTTCATTTTCACTCACCACTCATTTACTGATACACCCAGGGCATCTTCCAGTCCTGCAGGCTCCATTCATGTTAAGCACCCTATATAGGTGTACCATTTGAAAAAAACCTTTTATATCATATTTTTACTGTACCTTTTCTGCGTTTAGATACACAACTAGTTATCACTGTGTTATAATTGCTTGCCTACAATATTCAATGCAGGAACATGCTATTATAGGTTTGTAGCCTAGGAGCAATAGGCTATACCATATAGCCTAGGTGTGTTGTAGGCTATGCCATCTAGGTTTGCTTTAAGTTTACTCTCTGATGTTCACATAATGACGAAATTGCCTAATGACATTCTCAGAATGTATCCTTGTGTTAAACAGCACGTGACTGTGCTGTTACTTAAGTATACAGAAACAAAGGACTAAATATAAACTCTGTATGCATATAGCTTGGGCACAGTTATGAAACCAAAATAAGTTGACAATTTAGATACAAATAAGACAAGTCAATGAAATTCAAAGTAGTATCTGTAGTGTAACGTAACAAATAATGGTGTTTTGCAAAAACCAAATCACTGTTAGTTTAATAGTAGAACTAGTAGAAGGAGGCCCAATATTATATATTTTGATTCAAATAATATTGTTGCAGAGAAAGCCTGTAAGTATACTCTAAAAAGTATATAATTATACTCTAAAAAAACCAGGGTTAATATCTTTGAGTCTTTGCTAGTTCATTATAATCAGAAATTATATTTAGCCCGAACCTTGTAAGTAAGCAGCCTTTGGATGTTGTTGTTAACGAAGACAAACAGATAACCCTGTTTATACCTCATGACAAGGCTAGCATAATAGCTGCGGTGGGTGAATAATGCCCCCTTCCCCAAGATGTCCTAGTCCTCAGACCCTGTGAATATGTTACATTACCTGGCAAGGGAGAATTAAGGTTATAGATGGATTTATGGTTGCTAGTTAGCTGATCTTAAAAATAGATTTTCCTCAGTTTTTTAGGTTTGCCCAGTGTAATCACCATGGTCCTTAACCATGGAAGAGGGAGTCAAAAAGTCAGTGAAAGAGATTTCAGGGTAGAAGCAAGGTCAGAGTGATAAGATGTGAGAAGGACTCACCTGACTTTTGCTGGCTTTGAAGATGAAGGAAGGGCGATGTGAACCAAGGAATGTAGGTGGTCTCTAAAAGTTGGAAAATACAAAGAAATGGATTCCCCCCTTGAACCTCCAGAATGCAGTGCAGCCCTGCTGACACCTTCATTTTAGCCCAGTGAGACATGTGCCACACTATAAAACTATAGCCTATAAAACTATAAGAAAATACATTTTTGTTGTTTTAAGCAACTAGGTTTGAAATATGGCAGCAATAAGAAACTAGTGCAATAGCATTCTTGAAACCCTTAAATGAGTGGCTGATCCAGTTATTGCTGGAATTTGGAACATGCATGCAGTCTTTACTATCACTTGCTATATTTATTGCTAGTGAACTATTGCAAATTGATGTGTTCATTGATGGTACCCATTCAGTGCATCTCACTAACAGCCTGAATGTGTCACTGACTGTTCAGAGAAGGCTTTTTTGGGTTTGGCAGGCTATTGGGTAACCTGTGATGACTCAATTCTCAATCATTAGTGTGAAAGCTTCATTCTAACAGTAAGCTTTAGTGTCATTTGATCTTCACTTGAAGTTCACTTGATCATAAACATAAACAAGAAATGAAGCCCCTGAAATTGCATGGTAGTCCTTGATTATAAGATTATCATCTAGGACCTATATTCTAGATGATCCAGAATATGAATATACAGGATTTTTAAGGTTATCATAAATATCAAAATACACCTGTGAGCTTAGAGACTCACTTCTCCTATTATTTGTTTCCTTAACTTTAAAATGGGGATACCTCATGGTGTTATTTGAGGATTAAATGTGTTTGCACTGGTGTAATGCCTAGTGTTTGATGTGCATTATTGACCCAAAGCAGGAGTTGGCAACCTACAAGCTGACTGCAGTCCTTTTTCATGATTTTGAATAGTTTTCAGTTATCTGAAATAGTTCATATCTGACTGTGACTCCATGTTAGTAATGACTATTCTAGTTATTGAGTGACTTCTAAGCTAAGTATCTTTGCTCTTTCTTACTGAGTGGTGACTTCCTATAAGAAGAGAAAGCTGGGAAGCCAGACTAAAAGTATAACATGCCAAAGTGAGAGTGGGGAAGAGAGCGATCTCTATATATTTACCTTATTCTTTGGCTTCATCACTTAGAATACCAACCCTGAAAGACTCCAAGGGAATTTTGCACATTTAGGGTATGGGTCCTAGCTCCTGTGCTGTTCTTACAAACAGAAATCAGATTTTGTCAGAAGTTGCAGTTGTCATGAGGATTTATTTTTGATGTCATGTCTACCAGTGTTTTCTTTTCTCAATTTCTACAATTATTTATAATTGTTTAATTTTGGTTTGACTATCTCATTCGGGTTTAGAATTATTTAATTATTTGCTATTTTGTTGGTTGAAGGAGTTATAGAATGTTAGCAGGGTTAGTCAGAAAGTAATTGGCAGAGGGAAATTTGATCTTCAAAGCTTCTGGCTTCCAGCCTGGAACTTATTTAATCCATTCAGCTACATTGCCTCTTAAATTGTTGATCAAAATAAATTAAAAAAAAAAAAGCACTCATGTATTCTTAAGAACAAGCTTATTGATACAACTCCTGTTAGTGTTAGTGATTTAAACAGGGAGAGAGACCTGATCCTTTCAGTGG